TTCCGTACCATTTGTCCCGGGTCTAAATTTTCGGAGGGAATTCGATCCAGTCCTTCCCTTCCGCTCGGACAGTGGTTGATGAGAAAGTGCAAAATCGTCACTTCAGTCTGTGTACATTTATATTTTAAGAGAAAGCCTAGCAACGAAACTTTCGTTTGCAGCAAATTTTCCAAGGAGAATAGTTTCACCACTAGGTAGGTACAGCCTATTATCAAAGGATTTTTTGTGTAGGGAATCGAGCAAAATGTTCTAATAAGCGACTGCGATCGCGATCGATTCAATCGCCAGGCCTAAAGGATGCGAAAAATAAGCTTCTTTTTTTTGTTTTCATATGATCTCCCTTGTTACACCGAAATATAATGCACAAATGTCGGTTGTTCAAAACAAAATTACTGAGAATGCTTACGTTGTCCCGGCCAAGAACCTGATAAGCCTGATGAAGTGTACGACCTCGCTTGGACTGTTTACTGGTGGTCACCTCAGTGTGGAAACAACTTTTCTTCGTGTGTAGGATGAGCATGGTAAAGTCATCAATCGCAAGTGAATTTCTGAAACAACTTTATAAACGATGGCTTAAATTTAAGAAGTTTTTGATCCAGGGTCATTTAAGCTTATAAGCGAAGGGCAATTTTTCTTTCCTTGCGTGCATGATCAGGGCAAAGCGGCTACCGGCGAAAGGTTTCCTCCTGATTTCTGTTGTACATTCAAGCTGGGCCTTTTCAAACGTTTGCATCTCGTATATTTCATAAAAATGATCTATTGATGGAACAAAAAAAAAAATCAAAATATTTGTTTTTCCTGAACAAGTTTCTTTCAAATGTAAACGATCAAAGCGCGGGAAATCTTAAAACCTACGCGGGAGTGGCCTGGGTCCCAACCAGACTAAATATTACAGAAAACGTTTCTTCTATGCAAGCAATAATAAATGATAAATTCCAAATTTTTACCAGGGCAAGTGCCCTGGTTCGCCAGTTGCCAGCTACACCCCTGGTGGTGATATTAAATTATTTCTTCCCATACTTCTACGCCTGGCTCCTGCGGCTCCACATCTTCAAGTAATTTCAAGTAGCAATTATCATGAAATTAACGTATAATAGCCCAGCATTTGTTCACATCTTAATCCTGGGGTCAGCTATCTTAAACTCTTCAATGACATTCTATAGACCTTTCCTGCATTCCACTTCAGTGCATATGAACAATAGCACCAGAGCGAGGTTGGGGTGGACATTTTCATACATTTACTGTATTTTTGTCCACCCTGACCTCAACTTGGCACCTTTGTTTGTTGGAATGCGGGAAAGGTCTTTTTTAACATTGTACACCTTTGAGCTATACTTGCTTTAACCCCAAAACATTTGACCCCATTTATTTGTACCCACCCTGGGGAATTTCTCATCTTTTACCTCCAGGGATCAGCCTAAGGAGTTGGGGGATGGTCACTACTGAAATTGACTGATCAATGCATAACTTAATACAATTTCAAGACCACAGCTATAAAAGCCAACAATCAGTTGATACTTTTTTGTCTTTTCAGTTGTGTAAAAAATGGCAACAAATTCTACTCCAAAGAAAGCATCCTCAGGATCACGTGTAGAATCAATGTTTATAAAAGCCCAAAAGAACCAGAAAGCTCTTCAGGATGACTACAAAAATGTACCAGTTGTTAAGGATAAGATTCCAGTTAAGAAAGATGCTAAACATGACACAAAGTCCAAAGCCATACCACCCGCGGCAAGCTCCAAGCCACCGTGTGAGGCCGCTGTCTCCAAAAAACCAAAGCCAAGAGCTGGCAACTCGATCAGCTCTGAATTTGAAAAGAAAGAGTATTTTGATACAAAAGAAGTTCTGGAAGATAAAATTAATACACTCGCAGAGTGGATTAAGCAAAGTCGCTACTGCATATCATTTACTGGTGCCGGAATCAGCACCAGTTGTGGCATAGCAGATTTCAGAAGCGGACTGAATACTGTTCTTGCCACAGGACCGGGAATATGGGAACGTAAAGCCCAAGGAAAACATCTGCCATCGCAAGAGAAAAAAGTGCAAACAATCCTCAAAGCAATACCTTCGCCTTCTCATATGGCCCTTGTTAAGCTCCAACAGGAAGGCTTGGTGAAGTTTGTAGTGAGCCAAAACACAGATGGATTACACAGAAGGTCAGGGCTTGATCCCAGTTTTCTTGCTGAACTCCATGGCAACACTAACATGGAGCGGTGCCTAAAGTGTGGCTCAAGGTACATGAGGGATTATAGAACCCGAACCGCTAAGAAAGTTCACGACCATTTAACTGGGCGCTCTTGTGACAACCCAAAATGTGGAGGGCCTCTGGTGGACTCTATAATCAACTTTAAGGAAGATCTGCCAGAGGATGAGCTGGAGAATGGGTTCCGTCATGCCAAGTTGGCAGACCTGTGCATTGTGTTGGGGTCAAGCCTTAGGGTTTACCCTGCTGCTGACATCCCAGGTGAGATGATTGAAAGGGGGTCAAGGGTTGTGATTGTAAATCTACAAAAGACCCCATTGAACAAGAAATGTTCCATGGAGGTGCATTCCACCATTGATGACCTTGTACTGGGAGTAATGAAGAGACTGGGGCTTGAAGTGCCATCTTTCAAGCTGAAACGCTGCTTTGCAGTGGATGCCACAACTGATTTCCTGACAATTCAGGGACTGGATCCATCCACAAAGAGTCCTTACTCCTTCCTTAAAAGTATCAGCATCAAGTTGCCAACTCTTGAATCAGATTTCCAGATCAACAAGGAGCCCTTCTTTGTCAAGTTTCCTCGCCATGTTTCCCTATCAAAAGAGGTCCCTCTGCCAGTCAGCCTCACCCTCACCTTTCAGGGCCATTATGGTGAACCAGAGTTAGCAATCAGTCACACCATCAGCAGTGTTGGGCGCACCATCTTTATGCTTGAATTTGATGTAGCATCAGCTGAATGGCATGTCCATAAGCCAGAAGAGTTAAGTGGTTGAGCAGAGGTATTGGATTATGATCATGTTAAATGGAACAATGTAGTTTTTAGCAAACTGTTCTGATAAATATCATATAATGCTGGTTATAAGCCTCCATCATCCACACCTGTTGCAAACCTCTCAGGTTATACACCCATCTATTAGCTAACAGCAAAATATTCCAGTTTTTCCCGCTAGATGCTAGACTTCCCAAATGCAGGTTTTCTATAAACATGGTCTGATGTCCTCAGAGAGCATTGTACTTCAATTAAGAAATGGCAATGGAATAAGTTCAAAGACCAAAATAACAGTTTTCATCATGACTTTTTTTGCATTGTATCACTAATCAGAGCCTTGTGGTGCTTCCTGCCAGACCCCCCCCCCCCCCCCCCCCCCCCCNTTTCATTAATTTTGGTTTAGCTTTATCGCACCAATAGACTGTTCCGAGTCATGAATCACATTCAAGAGGTTCACTGTGAAGTCTTGTTGTTATGATGCACATTTAAAGTATGATATTATTGATAAGAGCAAGCAGTTATTACTAGTGAAGTGTTGTTAACAGTAGCAAGGATTAGCACAGGATAGAAATCAGCAGTTAAGCTATTGGTAAATAATATGATTGAATATCTGAATTCAATAAACTTGAGTTTTCCCAGACATCATTATTTGCAGACTGTTATTCTCATGAGGTCTCTCATTGTTATCCAGTTTCCCCACAAGAGAGGCCGAGATGTCAAAAAGTCAAACCAAAAAAAAAATATTATTTTACAGAAGAGGCAAAAATTTTTACATCATCTAGTCCTCCTTTTCCCATGGGGGGCACAGGGAATCCACAGTTGCCTTCTACCTCTGTCAGTCTTGAGCCCCTCTTTTGGCCTCGCACCAACTCAAGTTGGTCTCTGTCAGGTCTATCTGGATGCTTCAATGCCAGGTGCAGAAAGATGATTTTAAAGTTCTAGGTCAGTCAAATTTGATGTGCTATGTAGAAATTTCTGTGCCATACAATGGATTGGAACCCACAAGGCACACAAAAATGAGGCAGATCAGAGCTGTGATATTAATTGATTTTTTTGTTTGAACCATCACTAAAAGTTAACAAGCTGGGTACCCTATAACAAGAGACACTGGCCTGCGTAGCAAGCGTTCCCATACGAGGCAAACGTGGGCAGCGCGAGGGAGTTTTCGTATTCTGGCCACATGAAAAATGAGAAGGAGCAAAAAGGTGGAAGGAGGGGGGTGGGGGAGGGGAGCGAAGTTCCCTTCCCTCGGCCCGAATGCGAAAAACTCCTTTGCACAGCCCACGTTCGCCTCGTACAGGAACGCTTGCTACATAGGTTAAAGACACTACACAAAACTAAGCAAGCTATTCTACCCGAGGGTATGTAAATTCCTGTCTTGACCCAGAATGAAAACACTAAAGAGACCTGTTTCACACATTTTAATAAGGCCTGTTACAGTGGATTTCAATTCACTTTGGCCGTGCGGGTTTGGAAACATCTTTGGAACTTGGGTACTACGTTCCTGAATTCGTGGTTTTATTGTTATGGGAGCCAATCAAGTTACGAACTTTAAAATGAAAACCGCAGGTTTGATCTCGAAGTTCGCTTCCAAATTGCAAACTTCGCTTCTAAGTTGTGAAATGCAGGTATAGCGATGACGTGTGCCAAAGGAGTTGAAAGTGATAACTTAAAAAGTTGGCTATCAACTTTCAAACATTAGCTAGATTCGTAAACATGTACTTTCATATACGAGACACTTAAAGCGAACCAATTCTGTACTCGGCTCAAAATTAAACTTATTAGAGAAGAAGAATTCAGCTTGATGTTTGTGGTTTAGGAGGGATCTTAGGTACAAGTTGTTGCTTTGTTTACATATTTCATCAGCAAGTTCCTAATTAAAATTGTTGGGTTTGCACATTCGGTCGCCAGTCTGTCTAGTGTGTGGATCTTATCACGCGCGCAAATTAGGTTTCTCAGGCAATAAAATTCTCATTGTTGTTAGATTTTTCAACGAGTTTTACCCAATTGTTGGCACTGTTCTGTATTGTCGACTCTCTCCCTGTTACATTTAGTCGCTTGTAGGAATATCCAAAATCTTTCCACAAGGCTTGAGATATTGAAGATGTGGATGGACAATTTTCTCTCAGACACACCTTGTTACACGAAGTTCGCACATTGTCTCAATTAAGTTTGCAATGTGGAATCGAACTTCGAAATCAAACTTGTAGTTTTCATTTCAACGTTCGCAAGTTAATTGGCTCCAATAACAACAAAACTGCAAATTCAGGAACGTAGTTCCCAAGTTCTCAAGATGTTTCCAAACCCACACAGCCAAAGTGAGTTGAAATCCACTGTAATAATTGGTATTTCTATGAAATTTTATTGCTAACTGGAAAAGCTGATTCAAAAGTAATACAAATTTGTTTTTAAATTACTAATAACCTACCACATCAAATTAACAGTGTCCATGTGTGTTTGTTTAATGTTTTCTTTTTTCATTTTTACTGTCTTATATTCTGCTGCATTTTAACTTTAAGTGAGTTGTAGTTCATTCTAGATAAACAAAACTGAAAAAAGGTCTATGCCATTTCCAATTCTTAGGTCATATATTAATTAATGCAGAAAAATGTCTGTCCTAACAAATACGTGTAACTAGAAATACTTTAAAATACAACTCAAAAAACAAAAAGCATTGATTTCACTAAAATTAATAGGAAAACCTGCATGGTCCTCTTCAACAAGCCTGGCTGCAACTCTGTAATATCCCACAGAATGAAGACAATGAAGCAACCGGCAATGTTTTAATTACTGTACCTACATTGAGAGACTAACTGGATCAATTTCAACTCATCTTAGCCAGGAACACAATGTGTAGAAAGGTGGTCGCACCTTTATCTAAATTCCTTTCTTTTCAGTCTCTAGAATTCTATAACAACATCACAATACTTGACCTACATTACTGAGTAGTAAGTATAACATATCCTTGATTCCCCAAAACATGTTTGTGTGACTCTTCCACCAGAATATCAATTCATGCTTCTAGCTTGCGTTTCTTGGATTGAAGATGAGTTTTGTCCACAATACTATCTTCCAACTTCTTATACCTGGCTGTTAGTGGATCATAGACTTGAGGAGCTTCACCACATGGGTCTGATACCAACACATAAGGAGGCGCTTCACTAACCGCATCCCAAAATGTCTTGCCATCAGCCCTCTCCAAACCATGTTTTGCCCGATAGGCACACCCTAAACAAGCTGAGTTTGCTGTGTCTTTAAGGACAAAAACTGGAGCATCAAATACATCGGCAATCACTCTCAGTATGGCAGGATTTGATGATGCACCACCAGTTGCAAATATGCGAGTTGAATAACCTGAAAATAAGGAGCTGCTAAGCTAAATTGAAAAATTGAAATAATGATCATTTGTTCAGTCGTTTACTGTGTGTGTTGATGGCCGAGGATAAAAATTAAATACAGTTCTAAGTGTTGAGACACTTTGCTGCACAATATCCCACTAAGAGTTTTATTTTCAACCCTATTTTTGGTGTGGTCAAACATGGTCTTCCATGTTTGCTATCAATTATTACATCAAGTCCTACACTCGGTGTCATAGGTAAGTGTTGTGAGAGTTCACACAACCTACCCTAGTGTCTGCAAAATGTTGTATCATTTGAATGAATGAGTTGCCAGTAATCGGATACCCGAGTTTGCGCAAAGAACTCTGGGATCATCAGGGGGCAAACATTGCAAGTCGCTAGAAGAAAATGTATGAGGAAATGTTGTTTCGACGCCAAAAAACATGGTTTTGGGGAGAGATCAACGCTTTTTCGCCATTGTTTTAT